GCTGTCGCCTGCCCACGCGCCCCGGCGTATGGCACTTCTGATCGCCGGAGCCCTCTTCGGTGGCGTCTCGGAGGCCCCTTGGGGCATCTTGGAGGCCTCCTGGGCAGTCTAGGGGGCCATCTTGAGCGTCTTGGATCGATCGTTCGGCGACTCGGGGCCCTCCTGGACCGTCTGGGTGGGCCTCTCGAGGCTCTCGCGGCCCGTCTTGGGGCCCTCTTGTGCCCGAGCAAGTCACGCTACAAGATGTGGGGGAGCCCAGGGGGCACGCTGCAAGCTCCGGGAGATATGTGAATTTGGGGTCCGGGCCCCTTGACGACTCCTCAGGAGTGAGGAGTGAGGCTCAGAGGGTTAGGCAAATGACCTGAGGACACGCCCACTCCGTGCCCAGCGGCACGGTGGCATATATATATATATATATATATATATATATATATTTGTATGCATGCATAAGTGTATGTCTGTCTGGCTGCCTGTATGTATGTATGCATGTATGTATGTATGTATGCATGCATGCATGCGTGCATGCATGTATGTAACTTAATGTAACATAATGTAAATGTAATGTAATGTGATGTAATGTACTGTACTGTAATGTAATGTAGTGTAATGTAATGTAATGTAATGTAAAGTAATATAATGTAATGTAATGTAATGTAATGCGATGTAATGTAATGTAATGTAATGTAATGCAATGCGATGCAATGTAATGTAATGCAATGTAATGCTATGTAATGTGATGTAATGTAATGTAATGTAATGTAATGTAATGTAATGTAATGTAATGTAATGTAATGTAATGCAATGCAATGTAATGTAGTGTGTTGTAATGTAATGTAATGCAATGTAATATAATGTAATGTATTTAATGTATGTATGCATGTATGTATGTATGTGTGTATGTATGTATGGAATGTACAAGGACGAGCCTGTCTCTGGAGAGCCTCGAGAACACACCCACCCAACCCCCAGGCACCGCCACCGCGGCCCAGGGGAAGGACGGAGAGGAAAAGGGGGGAGAGGCGGAGACGCAGGCGGAGCCTGTACAACAGGGACGTGCAACAGGTGAAGCCTGAGGAAGTGAGAACCACACGATGGGATGCAGCATTTATATCTTTTGCACCAGAACACGAATTGACTAAAGCCATTATGTCACGTTCGATATCAGCTCGGACGTGCTGCAACTCAAATCTCAAACGTCCCTCGATCGAGGGCATCGCACTGAAGTGAAACCTCATCCCGCAAGTCGGGGAACCATTCCTCAAACTCCAAACTTCAATCCGCTCTGAGAACCTGAGTGTGCCAAACTCCGCTTCGCGAACCTTCAAGATAGATGGCTTTGCCCACTCAGAGCCACCACCCGCATGCGTACTTCAACCATTCAACCTGGGCTAACGCACCTCTGCCGACCCGAAACCACCAGGGCGGGAGAGTGGTGGGAAGCTGGAGCATCTCCTGTGCCTTGAGCGGCGATCCCATGGCCGTCGCGTCCACTGCAGACTTGATAGCATCTCTGACTCGGGCTGTGATGCGCTCGAGCTCTCCTCCAGGGTCGGCACCAGTCAGTGACCATAACGGGTTAGCCCACTGCAGCTCAAAATCCAGTCTCGCGAAATTGAAACGGATGGCCAGGATCTCCTCAGCCACTAGCATAATCTCCCAATCCCAGATGAAAAAGCTCTCAGAGAAATTGAACTGAGCCGAGGTCCTGGCCGCCGACGGCGCTCTGGGAGACACTGCCTGGCTGGAACTCCACAGCTCCACAGCCAGAGCCTCAGGCACCACCAGCAGTCCCCGCTCGAGCTCCTCCATCATGCTTGGGCGCGAGCGGGCCCCGATGTCCACGACAAAGCGGCCCCCGGTCACGTTGAGCTTGCGCCCCACTAGGTCGATGCCCGACCAAGCCTCGTCGACCAGAGATGCTGAATTCCTTGCAATCGACAACGCCACTCCACTGACTGCCAACGTAAGGTTTCTGGCCGCCAAAGGCACTGCACCTCCAGCTCCTGCCACATCCTCGACCAAGGCTGCTGCTGCCTCGGCGCTCCTGGACATGTTAGGAAAGACAGCCGACGGTATGGAGACACAGATCACTCCGAGGATGATGGCGGGAAAGAAGCAAGGGCCGAACCAAGGCCGCAGGATCTTACTGCAGTTGGCAGCGATCTTCATGTAACTGACCTTCTGGACTCGCTGCTGCTGCTGAGGTCTGCTGAGGTCTCTGCAGCTGGGGCACGAACTGCACCGTGTGCGGCAGGAGGGTGCCTGCCTCGTCCGCTGGCACTGCCGAGAGAGTCGTGGGCGGCGGAGGTACTCTAGGGGACTTGCTCTTGGGCGGCGTGAGCACGATTGAGACTGCCCCTGGCGACGCCGTCCTCGACGTGGCCCTTGAGGCTGGCGCACTCACTGCCATCCAGCTGCCAGGCGTGACAGGCGTCGCTGGCAGCGGCGGCACCGTCCCCATCGCCTCCGTTGGGCCCTTGACCCACTGCCCTTGACCCACTGCCCACTGCCCTTGACCTGCCCAACAGCAGAATCCTCCATCAGCTCGTTGCAAAACTTCTGCTGCATTAGTGCGGTCTGGCGATTCACAGATCCAGAGTAGGTCGCATTCAAAGTTCCCAAGATCCGATTCGCCACCTCTCGTACCTCCTGCTTCCGTCTGAGTCGTTGTCGAAGCCGCCCTGAACGAACCCCCATTCGACTAGGTCGGGGGAGAAGTGGAACGGGTAGGACGGCTTGACCATTCTGCAAGGCGGACGCCACTTCCCAGAGCTGGGAACCCACAGTGAGAACGTAAACACTTTGACTCGCCATCGGTCCTTCACCAGGTACTGCCGCTGCCCTCGAGGGGCTCCAGGCGCCCCCCCGCCCCGCGGCTCAGGGCAGGGGGGGAGGGGACGGCCGTCAGGCCGCCTCCCCACCCTTCTTGGGACCTCTTCCGCGACCACCTCCTTGATCACTTCGATCTCCCTTGGCTGCGGATCTCCGTCGTAGTTTAGCCGATGCACGTTCAGCTCGCTGATGCTCCATTTTGCTGAGAGGTCGCCTCCGTGATAAGCCAACCTGGAGCGATGTCCAGCCCGCTGCCAGGGGCCGTGACCGCCCGAAGGCGAGCAGCTTCAACCTTGTCGTAAGTCCTGGACGCGTACACGTACGCTGTGAGATGGCGCAAGCAGATCTCCACATTGTCATTCGTCGTCAACACCAACATGAGCTCAAGGTCGTTCGAGCACTTGCCTAGCTCGAAATCTAGCGTCGACGCCACTGACCAGAGCCCCTGCCATTGATCTCCTCCTCGACATCCCTGGAACTGCTGCTGCAACCAATGCCGTACACTCGTGCTCCCTGCCGCCCTGATGTTCCTGTAGATCTCAACTCCAGCTCGTTTGAAGTCGGGCGGCAGGGCGCGGGCCCACGCATCAACCTCGGCACCTCCAGAGGCGGCCGCTGGGCCGCCGAAGCTTCAGTCGAAGCTGCTGGATACACCGAGGCTCTCGAACCCCGCCAGCACCGTCTCCAACATCTTCGGGTCGGGCGGCGAGCGCGTGCCAGAGCCCACACAGTCCCTGGCCACCAGAGCAGCACGGACAGCTGGGTCGAGGCGTCTTGTCTGCTCCATTCCTGCCACTGCTTGCCAGGACTGCTGTCCCCACCAAGGGTTAGAACTGGCCCCCGCGTGCAGCTTCAGGAGCAGCTCCTTCAGCTGCGAGGCGCAGGCGGCGGCGGTCACTGAAGCCTGCAGCCCAGGCCCCCCAGGGCTCGTGGTGCCCCTGGGGGGCCCATGGGCGGCCCTGTGCTGGGCGCAGCTCCAGTCCACGAGACGGGGCCCGCGTCGTGCTCACCGAGCCCGAACGCATTGAACGCCTCCATGGACGGGTCCGTCAATCCAGCTGGGGCGCCTGGCGCCGTCGCTCCTGCCAGCCCGGGCGGCGGGGCTGTAGGAGGGGGAAGGGCGGCAGCGAGGGGGCCGCGGCCACCTCGGCGTGCTCTGCCGCGCCGCCGCTCGCCTCCCCCTCCAGGCGCAGCCGCTCCAGCTGGGCCCTCAGCGTCTCGATCTCATCCCTGCTGCCGCGCAGTGAGCTCCACCATTCTCGATCGCCACGGGCGAGGCTCCACGGCAGCGCGACGAAGATAGTGCACACGCCGAGCCCCAATCGCACCACGCTGCCTCGTCCCGTCTCCGCGTTGAGGGACAGCCCTGCGCACAGGCAGCCAGCGAGGCCGAGCGCACGTGGGCCCAGCCAGCGAATAAGGCCAAGCAAGACTCCCGACTCGGAGCCATCCGCATGGCCTGGATCCGAGCGCGGAGGAGGGGCAATCAGCGGGTCTCGGGCACCTGCTACCTTCCCTGGATGGTCACCACGCGACGGCCCCTCAGGCCGTCATCGCTCCGTTGACCTAGAATTGCTATGCGACATGATATGCTGCATGAGCTGATATATCAGGCACTCTACATGAATACCCATTAGCAAAATCTCATTCAAGTATTTGTATGTATGTAGATGTATATGTAGATATGTATGTATGCATGCATGTACGTCTGTATGTATGCATGCATGCATGCATGCGTGTATGTACATATGCATGTATGTATGTATGCCTGCCTGCCTGTATGTATGTATGCATGTATGTATTTAGGTAGGTCTATATGCATACATGCAATTATACAGTCATGTATGTATGCATGCATGCATGTATGCACATGTGTATACGTGCACGTATGAATGCATGCATGCATGCATGCATGTATGTGTGCAGGCGTCAGTAAGTGTACGGCCCCTCCCGAGGCGGCCAGAGTGTAGGCCAGGGCCCGAAGAGGCCCTGGCGCGAGCGTCGGGCCCGTGGAGGCCCTAGAGCATGAATTGGGCCCTAAGAGGCCCCCCTGTGCAAGGCCCGTGCAGGGCTGGACTGCGTGGAGCGGGACGTCCCCGCCAAAGCTCTTATGGCTCGAGGATAATCCATCGAGCGAGATCATCATCTCTGCATGGTGACAGCCTGTGAGGTTGCCGGAACCTACCCTTCAGGCCAGTGGCGCCAGCGCGCCATGGCGGCCGACAACGGAGCGGCTGGGGTGCAGCTGCTGGACTCGCGTGGAGTCGGCAAGGTGCCGACGTTCTCAGGCAAGAGGGATGACTTCGAGGATTGGATCTTCCCGTTCGAATCCTTCTGCGGGCTGCTGGGCTGGACGGCGGGCCTGGAGAGGTCAAGAGAGGCTGAGGAGCCGCTGACGGCGGAAGACCTCGGCGAGCAAGGAGTGCTGGTCGGCAGGAGCTTGTACCACCTGCTGGCGAGCACCACGAAGGGCACGGCGCAGAGCATCGCCAAGCTCTGCCCGCGAGGCGACGGCTTCGAAGCAATGCGGAGGCTGTGCAGGGAGTATCGGCCGAGGCTGAACGAGGAGCACGGCCAGATGCTCCTGCAGATCTTGACGCCGACGTGGTGGAAGGATCGCGAGGGTAAGAAGCGCTTCGCGGAGGTGCTTATCGCTTGGGACGAGCTGATCTCGAGGTATGAGCGCGCGACTGGAGAGCAGGTCACGCAAAACATGAAGACGAGCACGATCATGGCCCACGCGCCCGAGGAGGTGAAGGTCATGCTACGCTCGGCGCAGCGCGAGGTGCGCAGCGACATCACGCAGGTGAGGAACTGCATCTTCGAGGCGGTGATCGGCCAGAGTGGAGTGGTCGCGAAGCCGCCGACAGCGAACAAGGGGAGCAACGACATGGACGTCGACGCGATCTCCAAGGGCAAGGGCAAGGACGGCAAGGACAAGTGCCAGATCTGCCACAAGCCGAGCCACGCGGCCCGCGACTGCTTCTGGCGTGACGAGGGTAAGCAGAAGGGCGACGGAAAAGGCCGAGGAGCAGGCGCGGGATCCAAGGGCGGCAAGGACGCCAAAGGCAAAGGCAAGGATGGCTACACCTTCACGGGGAAGTGCGACTATTGCCACAAGACAGGCCACAAGAAGGCAGACTGCAAGAAGCGGATCGCCGATGAGAGGGCCAAGGGAAATGCGGCCATCGAGCAGGAGAGCACGGGCCCGAAGACGGTGGCCAAGATCGAGTACGCGGAGTACGAGTGCGAGATCTGCGACGACGACCAGCTCTACTGCATGGCGATGAAGGTGGAGGATCCCGAGACGGAGTGCTGCGGCATGGAGCTCGAGGAGACGACCTTCATCACGCTGGACACGGCGAGCGACTGCCACGTGGGGCCGACTTGCTTCGGAGAGGGATGCAAGAACGGCGAGGGTCGCGGACCGAGGCTGCTGGATGCGCAGCGGAAGGAGATCAAGATGGACTCCATTGCGACGGTGCCGGTGGCGGTTGCTGACGACTGCGAGCAGCCGAAGCTGCTGAAGGCGGACTTCAGGCTGGGTGACACGGTATCGAAGCCGATCCTCTCGTTGCTGGAGGTGATGGACAAGGGTGCCGAGTTCTGGCTGAGCGCGAAGACGGGCATGCGCATGTACCCTGGCGGTGACCTCAGCAAGGGCATCCCGCTCACCAGGAAGAACAACACGTTGGGATTCAACGCAAAGACCTTCAAGACAGCGACGGAGGCGAAGGAGTTCGCGGCCAGCGTGAACGCGAATGAGCAGCAGGAGGAGGCGTTCGTGCCGACGCCTGGGGCTGCGGGCAGCGGAGCAGCGACAGCGGCGCCGGCTGCGCCTGCGGTTGCTGCCTCGGATCCAGCGCGAGGTGGAGCAGCTGAGGGCGCAGGGGGAGAGCGACTGGCTCGACATCCTGTGCTACTACGCGAAGGGCAGGAGATCGTCCTGCACCCTTCCAGCCGCGTGGAGGACACGCGGGCGAGGCTCAAGGAGATGGGCCAGCCGATCTACGGCAGGAAGGACGAGCTGTGGGCTAGGCTCAGCGATGCGGAGCGGAGGCTCACGGCACACCACATGAAGATGAAGGGTCTGGAACGCAGGCACGAGGAGTCCGTTCAGGGAGGGCCCTCGATAACACCGCGAGAAGTAGCAGGGCCAGCAGCGCCCACGGAGGCAGAACGAGCAGCTCATGAACTGCTTCACCTCACGAGGGCGCCGTGGCGCGAAGCCTGCGTGCGAGGGAACGAGACGACCAAGCCGCACAAGACTCTCACATTCAACCAGAAGGACACTGGGAAGGCGCAGATCACCCTGGACTTCTGCTACCTGAAGACCAACGGCGACTGAACGGAGATCGGAGAGGTGGAGCCGCCAGCGGCGGACATCTTCGCGACGACGCTCGTGATGGCAGACAGGGGCACGCTGATGTTCTACGCAGTTTCGATGCCCACCAAGGCGGTCACGGACTACGCAATAGCCAGCGTGAGCAGCTTCATCGAGGGCATGCATCTCACGACGGCGGACATCAAGACGGACGGCGAGCCCGCGATCGTGAACTTGGTGGAGGAGGTGCGGAAGAGGCTGAACAAGAGCATCAAGCTGGAGGAGAAACGTGGGAACCTGAAGGACAGCCAGAGCATGGGCGCGATCGAGGCTCCGATCATATGGTTTCAGGCGAAGGTGGGGACGTACAAATTCGACTTGGAGAAGCGCTATGGCATGAAGATCACAGCCGACGCACCGATCTGGTGCTGGCTTACACGATGCGTTAGCCGGGCTACCTTTACGTACAGACCACACGCCGATGGGGGGACATCCCATCAGGCAGCCTGCGGAGTGACCTACAACGGAGAGATTCTCCCCTTTGGCGAGACGGCTCTCTTCAATACCCCGATCTCCCACACGAGGCAGATCACGACCACGTCTCTGAAGCGCGAGGGCGAGTCGAGTTTCGTGAAGGGCATCTGGATCGGGAAGCACAAGGAGAGCGGCGACCACTTGTTCTTGACGCCAGCAGGCTGGCACCGCGCGAGGACATGCAGGCGGCTGGAGCCAGCGTTGCGAGCAGATGACAAGCTGATGAAGGCAGTGACGGCCCTGCCCTGGGACGCGAGGAGTGCAAAGCCGTGCGAGCTACTGCCCAGGATTCAGCGGCCGACGCCCACGATCGTTCTGACGGCGGCGGAGCAGAAGGCGAAGACTGAGGCGCAGGAGGCAGCGCGCGAGGCGGCGCCACCCCAGGGGGCGCCCGAGCAGGGGGCGCGGCCGGCTGCAGCAGCGAGCGCGGAGCCATCGTCAGCACTCGCGGGACCTGGAGCTGGAGCAGCAGCGGCGGCAAGACCAGAGGAGAAGACCACGACGGATGCGGACGTGCCGATGACACCCCGAGGGCTGATCAGACCTGCCGAGGCTGAGGACTTCGGTGCACCAGGCAAGCGCGCGAAGCACGTGGACGCCATCTCGCTCGACGACCCTATCGATTGCAGCATCCTGGACAGGATGGGCACAGACTGCTACGTGACGGTCAGCGGACTGGAGCCCGCGGTGGAACTCAAAGGCAAGCGCTAAGCACTAGAGGTGCTGGCGCACTATGGGGTGCACAGGGACATCCCGAGGAGCGAGAGCGGCGAGTTCAAGAAGATCAGGGCGCGCTGGGAGCCGCAGATGCGAGGGGGCATCTGCGAGTGGCGGTATGTGGCGCAGGAGTTCCAGTGCATGGAACAGCGCGACGACGTGTTCGCAGCGAGTTCGTCAGCACAGACGAGCAGGCTGGTGGACTTCGTCAGCATCAAGGAGGAGAACCACGGGACCTTCATCGCAGACTGCGTGAAGGCGTACTACCAGGCGGACCAGACGGAGAAGGTTTGTGTGGAGCCACCTGCTGAGTATCTGGCGATCTTGGCTGAGATGGGCAAGCCGACCGACATTGTTTGGGCGCTAGACAAGATGCTACCTGGGCAGCGTGTGGCAGGCGCTGGCTGGGTAGACAAGGCGGCGAAGACTCTGAAGGGAGAGGGCTTCGACAGGAGTGAGTGTCAGCCGCAGTTCTACTACCACAGGGAGAAGGAGATCCTGATCGAGGTGCACATGGGCGACTTCCACGGAGAAGGTCCAATCGGCAACCTGGACGGGGTCATCAAACGGCTGCGGGAGGTGTTCGACCTGAAGGCGACGGACGTCATCAGGCAGGGACGCTACTCACACTTGAAGCGTGACAGGCTGAGGCTCGCGAACGGCAACATCATGCTGAGGCCGAACGTGAAGCAGATCGACGACCTGATCTACGTGATGGGCATGGAGAGGGCCAAGCCAGCGAAGGTGCCAAGCTTGACTGAGGAGGGCCCGACATGGAGCCCCGAATTGGACGAGATCGAGAGGGCGAAGTTTCGCACAGGAGTTGGGATCGCGCTCTACATCTCGCCCGACAGAGCGGACATCCAGCGGGACGTGCAGCT